ACAAGACACAGTTTCAATGAAATTGGGTTTCAGTAAAATAACGTTGTGTCGTTGTGTTTTTATTTACATTTTATAGAAATTCCTACTGCAGTATAATTGGGATTTTGGTACTCTAGTACTTACTTCTTTTGTACTTTACTCTAGATACTACCTTGGCTACCTTCTACTGTATGTTTACTACTAAAACTACTTTTGCTGCTGACACTGATTGGTCCAAAAGTACTTCATCTGTGTACTCCTACCTACAGCAACTGGTACTACTAATTTACTAACTTCTGATACTACTACTACTAGTACTACTAAAGCTACTTCGTCCTTCTTTTTATACCTCTCCTTCTACTTACTTGAACTACTGCCAGACCTAGACCTAAATATTTCTGTCTGCTCTTCATCTCTAATCTGACGGAGATGTAAACATGGAGCCACAGAATGAAAAGATCAAATAAGTATCAAAAAAAATCTTCACTTTCTTTCCTTGTTTCCTTCTGATCCTCTCTCAACCTCGATCTTAGAGCCAGCCAGCTTTTCTTTTATCTTCTTCTAAGCTGTAAGAGGCAAGTGTGTGTGTGTGTGTGTGTGTGTGTGTGTGAGTATGACTGTGTGTCGCCTGCGGGGAGTCTGTCAGCAGATCCAGGATCAGAGCGTCGCTCATTTATCTGAGCTGGTTATTTATAGACACTGAGACTCACAGCTGGAGGAGAGAAAAGAGTGGATTCATCCTTTAATTTTCACGCGTCACACACTCTACATTAATCTGACCATTTATCTGTGAGATCATTTAATCCCAGCAGTCACTGGATTATACCTGACATTGTCCGTTCTGAAATAAAACCAAACCAGAAGTAAAACTCCCAGAAACCCTCTCTCCTTACCACCCACTCTCTCTCGCTCTCGCTCTCTCTCTCTGTCTGACCTGTGACATCATTAGGTGGGCGGTCCCCCGCACCGAACAGTAAAACCGTTTTTACGCTGATTAAAAACATTTACAATAAACGTCAATTTTATTTATTGCCGGTTTCCTGATGCGTTCAGGGACCTGGTCTCAGCCTGTCCTTGCAGGTATTTTGACCTTGTGAAAGGCAGCGTCCACAGAGGACAACATGATGAATTCAGTTCATCGTGTTGTCTGATATTAAGCTTTTTAAAGTAATTGTGATAATTGTAAGGAATTAATTGAATGTTTTTCTTCAGAGATTATTTTCGCAGGATCTGAGGCCTAATGAGGGCTTTTATGGGATTAAGTCTCTGTAAGTGTATTTGGACGCATTAACTGATGGCTTTTTCAAGGATTAATTCCATTTTTTTCCTAGGATTTATTGGCATGTTGTCAGCGATTAGTTCGCAATGTTCCCGCGGTTTATTTAGGTTATCGAAGGAACTTTAGGGCTAATTAGAAGTTCGTGGCATTTTAGGAATTTAATCCAGCAGCTCCCAGGGATTACTGTGCTGATAAGGAAAGTCTTTATTTCACGTCAGTCAGTTCATCCTCTTCATCTGTTGCAGCAAACTTTAGGTGAATTACTGCCACCTACTGGGCTGGAGTGTGTGCAGCGGTGGTTCCTTTGTTTCCAAAATTAGAAACGAGATCTATGAATACTAAGATTAATTGTTATTTTTATTACATGTTAAAGTTCCAGTCGCGGTTGTCATGACAACATGTTCATTTCTGGTACTGTAATAAAATCTAGAGAGGTCATTTTTCTGCATGATGACATTGGCAGCGCTCGCCAACTATTTCCTGTGCGAACTAGTTGGCTAGTTTTAACCTTGTACGACAAAATGATGGAACAAAACTTTCTTACTAAATTTATGAGAGATGGAGACGTCGTAAACTGAGGACTGTTTTCAGCAGGTTGAATTGTTAGCGAAGTTCAGGGAGTTTATAATGATACCTTCAGACGATGTGTTCAGGGTCCTCGGAGCGGCAGTAAAAATGTTAAAGGACTTTGACTCTGCTTTTATTCTTTATATTTTTAGAATGGTTCGATTTTAGCTCGGTCCAACTGTTGCGTTTGTTCGCTGAAGCAGTTTGTCGAGTTCAGGGTCTGTCAGGAAAATCAGGCGCCGCTGCAGGCGACTGAAAGATGATCTGTTTAAACCAGTTGACAGTGGTTAGAGAACGAGCACAGAGAGAGAGAGAGAGAAAGCTGTAACGTTTACACGCCAAGCTCATTAGAGGATTTTCATGCTTCAAACGCTCGTGCTGACCTGCAGGGATCAGGGGTCAGAGGTCAGAGCCGTAGCCGACACATGATCTGCCGTTTGGCTTGTCACGTTTGGAGAGTGCTTGGCTGGTCCTGAAGGAGAAGACTCCTCCTCTGTGTCCTCAGCCCGTGGTCGGCGGTCAACGTGTCTTTTAAAGTCGTTTCCCTCTTTGAGGTTTAAGAGCCGCTCTGAGCCTTCAGATAATGGGCTTCATCAGTCGCCCGCTGAGAGCTGCACAGAATCATGGCTTTTCCTTCTTGTTCTCCTCATGCTGCTGTGTTACCACCCGCTGTCATCACATTAAACACACACACACACACACACACATTTGTTGTGTCAACAATAGGATTCACAACAGAGAGAAAACATGACCCAAAAAACATGTCCCATGAGAAGAAGAAAAGAAAGGTTTCCACATCACTTGATGGTTTTTGGAAANNNAGTGAGCGGTCACGTTGGTGAATGATCAGAGTGAGACATCACGTTGGTGAATGATCAGAGTGAGACATCACGTTGGTGAATGATCAGTGAGATGTAAATGATCAGAGTGAGACAGCACTTTCAATTTTATCTTGGTGGACGCACTACTTTCAGGGGCTAGAGTGGCACAACGACAGGACCCTTACTGCCACCTGTAGGCCCTACGTTCAATACCACCTACTGTAGTCAAACCAAATCCCTGTGAACTGCTACTGTTCTGTCAGTCACTGGTTTAAAAAAAGGGGACACGCTGAAAGTGATCCTTCTTCTTTATTGATGTTTTTCATGATTTTCCCAAACCAGTTTGGAAGAAGAGCGAGATCTTACAAATCTTTCTTTGTAATTTAGATATTTGATTTGGAGCAGAGTGAGACATCATGTTTCTTAAAAGAATAAATATGTAGCAGCTCTTTTTTTTTATCCACACAGTTTTCCAGTTTTCCACCATTCCATTCAAAAAGCCTAACTTGAAAAGGAAAAAAGAAAAATCGATCCAGTTTCCTCTGGTTGATAAATCTGTGACAGTGATGTCACTAGTGGAACAAAATAAAGGAGCACTTTATTTTTTTTACTTTTAAGGTAAACCTCTTAACTACCATCGGACGTCACTGTATGTTGTATGTCACTGTTAAATTTAGAGCAGAGTGAGACATCGATTTTTTTTTTTAACCTTTTGTCAATTTTGAGTAAAACATATAACTATAAATAAAAAAACATAAATAAAAATAAAACAATAATTTCCATTAAATTATTTTGTGAACTTTGAGCAGAGACAGGTGTAACATAACCCACACACAAACAGGGGAACTTGATACGTGGTATTATCAGTTCACAGTGTAAAATTACCTCCAGGTGGCGCTCTGTGGTGTTGTATTCCACAATAACAACATTCAATGCTCTTCATACATTTATACTGTTTTTTTGGTGATTTTTTTTAAGGTGGATGTGACCCCTGTGATCACCTCTGTGTGTACTTTAATGTCACTGTAGACCGTGGGACGTTACACAACTGTCCTCACAGACCAGAGTCCAGTTCATGGTCTCTGTGGGTGTTAAAAATAAATGTACACACACACACATTTACTGGCTGCACACATTCACAGCTAAGAAAATAATCTATAATACATGCAAACTCTCATTAGAGGGGAATGTGTTTGCTTTAATATGCACGTGTGTGTGTGTGTGTGTGAGTGTGTGTGTGTGTGTTTAAAGTCTGATCGAAGCATAAATGATTCACATGCACAAAGGCACAACATGGAGGCACTTTATGAAACGTTATGTGTGTGAGTGTATGCCCCCCCCCCCCCACACACACACACACGTACACACACGTACACATACATATGCGGTTACTTCAGTGTCTTGGAATAAAATTGGAATCTTGAGGTTATTGTTACATTTGCTGTCACAGATTTTTGTTGTGTTTTATTGTGTTTCCAAAATACTTGGTACTATTGTCTCCGGGTATTTCATATTACAGAAATGACATGTCTTACTTTTTTTTTTTAAGTACCAATGCATTGTAAAGCAGTGGGTAAAAATAAGGCCCCCGGACAGAATCGGCCCACTGGGGTTTTATCAGGTGGTCAAATATTTGTAAAATTATATTATCTGAATTAATCTGAATGTTGAGCACTAGATGGTGCACTCAGGCTTGAGAAAAAGAAAAAAAAGAGGAGGTGAAAATCCCACAGAGGAGAGGGGAGACGGAGGTGGGGGGGTGAGGGTGAGAAGTGGGACAGATAGGAGACGTCCTCCTCTGAGACTTCGTTAGCGTGGAATATCTATTTTTATCTTGACTTAAATAAATGTGTTTACATTCAGTATGGAAATGAAGCTGCAGCAGCAGAGGACAGGCAGCTCTCCACGAAGCTCTGGCGTCGCCCTGTGGAACAAGGGTGAACTGCAGCTGGATTCAAAAGAGCGCCGTGATTAATCAGATCACCGTGAAATTTGGTTAAAGTAGTTGTTGAGCCTATGGGCAGGGTGTCAAACACACGGCCCGTGGCCCAAAACCGGCCCGCTTGAAAAAAAATGTAATATTTTATATATTTTTATATGGCCCGTGGACCAAAACCGGCCCACTTGAAAAGAAAAATGTAATATTTTTCTATTATATGTCATTAAATAAGAAGACTTATGTAACATATTTGTACTTCTTTGCATGAAAACAAAGGTGAAAATCATGGATTTTTTGTTGTTGTTATTTACAGGTGATTATGTTATGATTGTACTGGTCCAGCCCACTTGACATCTAAGGTTGGACACCTTCAGAGCTATGCCATTATTCACTTTTTGTAATTTTTTTTTTTTAGATATGGTGACATGGTCCCAAAGACCATCATGGGGAAGATCTTTGGCTCCATCTGCTCGCTGAGCGGCGTTCTTGTTATCGCTCTGCCCGTGCCTGTCATCGTCTCCAACTTCAGCCGCATTTATCACCAAAGCCAGAGGGCGGAGAAGAGGCGAGCACAGAAGGTGGTGACCCTGAATGCATCATACACGCATGACTTCAGAATGACACTCATGCTGTACATGTACTGTTCATGGTGCATTCACTGTCCCTGGCCAGTGTGAAGGTATATATATATTTATGTAAAAGAAGACGAAGAAGAAGACAACAAGAGTCAAATTTGGGAAATTTGACATAAAAAAACTATTTAGATTTGAACTGTTTAACTGCAAAACTTGCAAATGTTTTTCAGTTTTTTTATTTGTTATTGATCTTAATATCCATTGGTTTGTCAACAAAACCTAACTTCAACCAATCTATCCGTCCCTTGTCTTGGCTAGCCATGGTGCTAATCATGGTACACGGAGGTTTTTCACAAATGTTAGCTAACTATTAGATCATTTTTATAGCTAATGTTTGTCCAAATCTGAATGCAATTCAGGTGGGATATTATGGGATACAAATGGTGTCACACATACACTCACAGAAACACAACACACACCTGGACAGAGGAGCTTAACATGGGCTAAACATGTGTCTGTGTCCACACACAGAAAACCAGGCTTGCTAGAATTAGCTAGCCTGAGCTAACGTTCTACTGTATGGACTGCTGCATGAAAAGGAGAAGTATCTGTTACTGTGACTCCGACGGTTCTTAGACTTTTAATTTCTCTTTTCCTGATTTCTCCCTTTTTTGATCAGGTTCAACCGTAATATTTACCCTCATTTGCTGCTTTAGCTAACGCCTAACGGGAATTAGTATGTGTGATTAGCCATTTTTTTGGCTAACTAGCTATCATTCATCGGTTCATCTCGATTTACATCGGAATTCCATTCCTTAATTTCCTGAAGGGACCCCTTATGCCGTATGTTTCACACCCTTGCCCTTAGGTATTAATAAATCTATCTCTCCATAAGTCAGGACTCACATACTGTAAATACGTTTCTGTGTCATATGTTAGCCTTATGCTAACAGCCATCTTCCGTGTATAGCGCCACGTGACCCCTTGCTAACTAGTTCCTGTGTGAGATTTGTTTCAACGAAGAACAAAGACTTCCTTAATGAGTTTATGGGAGATGGTGACGTAACCTGATAAACCGTAGGTGGAGGTCCAGAATCAGGTGGTCAATGACGATGACAGGTCAGAGCTAAGTTAGATGACAACAGAGGAGTCGTATGGTCTAGTGAAGGTGTGTTACGGTTGGAGGCCTGACGTTATTTTACAGTTGTTTTTTTTCTCGTGTCGGACCTCGGTGTGGGTTTAGGACGACCCCATAAGGAAACTGTTACAGTTGGACCATCCGCTTATTCTTTCTGTCTTTGTCTTATTGACACCAGTGGACAACAGATGTCTTCTGTCCATATTTGCATGAGCAGGAAGCAGCGCTGTCACCCTTCACCTCACCCTTCCTTCCGCTCAGGATCCGTCTTCTCTTCCTCTGTGTTTTGGTTGGATTTGGGTTTTGGTTGGCTCCACAGACTAGCTCACCATCAGCATCGTCATTATGCATCGTGACATAACGAGACTGGACTTAGCTGCATGTCAAAAAGTCCACCGGGCGGCGTGGAGGGGGCGGAGTCAGTGAGAGACGCAGAAGTGACGATGGAGGGCATTGTGTTTGACCATTTAGAGGAACCTGGTAGATTAGTTACCAGTTGGTTAACTAGTGCTGGGCAACCATTAAAATACTACTATTACTAAATACTGTTTTTGACAGCAGTATTTCCTTCTTAGCGTCATAACATTATAGAGTTGAACAGATAGTAATGTTAACTTTACTGTTGTTAAATTCTCAGTTCACATTTGCAGTAACCACGTTAGCATTTTCACCTGGGTCACTTGTCCTCCATTTTGTAACTTCACTGCTGGTTGGCTGGTTCTTATGTGTTGCCCCCGGGCCTTAAGTTGGATACACATGTGCCCTACTTGGTTTTACGAGTTATGGAAATTGTAGTGCTTTTATGGCAGCGTGGTGCCTCAGTGTGTCCTGTTTAGCGTCTGCTTTGTTCTTCCTTTTGTCTCCGTCTTTCCTCCAGTTTCTGTCACTCTGAGCTGTGTGGAACTCACACCCTTCTTCCTCCTGTATACACGATGCATAAAAAAAGGGCGCGGGCTCCTGTTAAACATGAACTTAAAGAAAAAATTGAATTTATTTATTCGTTAATGCGATAGTAAGGTGTTTACTTGCCCAGCCCTAGCTGAAGGTCGGAGGTTTAAGAGTGGAAGGATCGTACGCGGCTAACGGTGAATGTAGTTTTTAGCAGCCCGAGGCACCAGCTTTATGACCTTTGGTCATGACCTCATAAGGAACAAACTGTTTGGAACTATAAGAACCAGATTTAGTAAAGGTACCACTATTTTTGTGGCTAAAATAAAATGTTCTCATTGGAAAAAAATCTCATTGGTCCTCTGTCCCATCCATCCATTCTCCTGCATCTCATTCACTCTGACCCCTGACACCAGACCAGTTTAAAAACAAATCTAGTTGTCCACACATCATTAGCCCTGTCCAGGTATGTCAAGGTGGATCAGCCCCTGTGGCTAGTTTAAGAAAGCTAACTTTAAAGATGACGTTGTTTCTCTTTGTGCCCCCGAAGGCATCAAAGGAGGCGGGACAGGCGCTCGTGTGTAAAACCAATCAGAACATTGACGTACACCGCCATCACCTGCTGCACTGTCTGGAGACGACCACGGTGAGTTCAGGGATTTTTTCTTTTTTCGCATTTATCGTAAATGTTTTTGTCGTCAATCCAATGTCTCTGGTTACTCAGAACCACGAGTTCGTGGACGAGAAGACGTACGAGGCCGGCTACCGGGAGGTGATGCTGGCCAAGCAGGTTTCCTCCGCCTCCGCCTGCTCCTCTCCTCATGGCCTCACGTCCTGCTGCTCACGACGCAAGAAGCAGGAGACGTACAAGGTCCCCAACTCCAACATGTGTGCCGGCCTCCAGGACAGCATCCAGGAGCTGAGCACCATCCAGATCAGAGAGAGACCGCTCACTAACAGGTAGGGGGCAGAAGACCCTGAGGGGGTTCTAATCATACCATCCACAGGAAATACTGGGAGCCGTAGTTAACGCTAAGACTAGATTTTTTTTTTTCTTCTTCTTACTCTGACCCTCTGATGTAGCTTTGGCCTCAGAGATGGTAAGAGGAAGTGTTCATAAAAGTCAATAACTGAAACAGGAAGTCACTCATGTTTTACTGTTAGGCTGCCATAGCACATATATAGGATACAAATGAGTTCCATGATACTGGGTGGCTACTAGCTCGACCGCTAATCCGTCAGAGAACAGCCAGGACGGTGGACGTCTGCCGGGTGATGAAGAGACTCAGCCTATAAATACACTGGTTCACTTACAGGCTGTCATAAACAGAGCCTCACTTCCTGTACATAAACACATGCAGCACAGATCATGTGACAGCCCGTTCCCATGGAACCAGAGAGCAGGAATCCGGAGTATGTCCAGCTGTGGGACGTCTGGGAACTGTCTTCGCGACTCGGACACCTCCCGTTTTGTGTGTATTCGAGGGTGTGCGTTTGTGTGTTAGTCAGTGTGCGTTGTACTCGTTAATGTGGAGTTTCGGTCGTACGGATGTCAACGTGTACAAACGACGGAGTAAGTTTGTCTATGTCCACAGCAACATGATCTGTCTCTTCTATGACCTTTAAATAGGACATTTACTCTAAAACTGTCACACTTGTGTGACCCCCTGGTCCCTCCCCGCCCCCCGCCCCGCAGGTTTCCACCCTTATTTATAAATCTCTTCCCAAGAAATATGTGTTTAAAGTCTTCAGTCTATCGTTGTTTTTTTAACCAATAATCCAACAACAAAGTACACGTCCCCTGTCCATAAGAAGACAACCAGTGGTGTGACCAAAGAAAAACCCTGAGACTTGAATCTTCGTCCTTCCTCCACAGTCGTTCCAGCCGATCCAGTCTGAACGCCAAGTTTGAAGAGACCGTTCCTCTGAACTGCGAGAACTTCCTCACCGCCGCCGTCATCACCGTGCCCACGCCACCTGCCACGACTCCCGAAGGCGAGGACTCCGCCCAGGCTAACGTAGTTCGAGTGTCAGCCCTCTAGGTAACACCAACCTCCTCTCGAACACGGTAATAAAACCCACCAGCAGGGGGCTCAGCTGAGTGATGTTGATGTTCACAGTCAAAGTGATGCTAGTTCAGGCGCTCAGTTGGTTCACTCATGGAAGGAAGGATGTCATTGGTGAAGGCGCGTCAGCAAACGCTACCTTGGTTTTCCAACATTTTTTTTTTTTTAAAACACAAAAGACTGATAATAATGTAGCTTTGTGACTTTTTACCTGATTTTAAAGAAGTCCTCAGTCTTACTAGCATCTCAGCACAGAGGAATTCTGGGTACATTATATGTAGCTAGCATAGCACAAAGATAGCATTTCTGTGTGAACCTGCTAAGCACAACCACGTCCAAGAGTCAGCAGGTTAACCTTTAAACTGAATTATCAGGAAACTGTCCTTTTTTGGTTGTATAAAACGGTTTTGTAGCATGTTGCTATATCAGGTGTTGAATTTACAGTGGGCACTAATTGCTAACAGTCTTCCAATGGTACCGAAAAACACCACAGAGTTTATATGTTCTTGTTTGTGTGAGGTGATAAAGGACGTTTTATTTCTAAGTTATGCCGACGACGTCCTCATCGATTTCTCAGAATATGAACCTGCATTTATTTTTTCCCTCGTTTGTTTGGTCAATCAATGTTTGAACTTCAAAATTATAAATATCTGACCTCAATGACTCGCAATGCAGTGCAATGCATTTGAGTCCGATTTTTATTTTTGTGTTGTGTTACATTCCTAGTGAATTTTATGTGATATCTGAAATTAAAGGTGGGAAGTCAAGGACACATCTGTCCTGTGTTGGTAAAATGTTTACGAAGCAAAATAGTCGAGGTATAGGTATAGTGCCTAATAAACTGAGAAATGGGTAAAAATGATAAGATATATTTAAATTTGAAATTATTTTTTTTGCTAAATAAAAAGCTAAAAATGACTAAACTAAAGAAATGTTGTTAAATATAAAAGTTCTGTTTGGTTTTATACTTACTAATTTATTCTCAATGATTTTACTGTTAGTTATTTATTTTTACTATTTAACATATATCAACTTGTCATTTTTTGATACTTGCTATTGCACTTTTCTCAAATTGTCTTATTTATCTGTCTATTTAAAGTAAACTACAGTGTTTCTTTGTCTGTTCTTTGTATATGACCACGAAAAAAACCCGACTGTACAGACTCAGAGTCCACTTGTTATAATATTCCTTATGTAGCATTGATTTGGATTGAAACCTTGCGCATG